ATACATCTATTAGTTTCTATTATTGATTTGCCTATTAAGTGAGTAAAGGGAAACAGGCTTGGTTAATACGTTTCTTAAAGAGTAAAAAAAAAAGACCTTTGGCTTAAAGTGCACCCCTGCAGTCTAAGGGCCCTGTCTGACTTAACACCATTTCTGCTTAACAATGGGCTGATGATCCTTATCAATAGCCAGAGGATGAGTCGCCAGGGCAATTATCAGGATTTGAGAGGGCCTTTTTCCATAGGAAGGAGGGAAAAAAACTTAACAAGGTTTACTAAAAAGATTGACTCTGCAAGAGATGTCCTATTTCATTTCCTGCTAAAAGATTAAGAATTTTACAAGTGATGTCCTCAGTTGTGCCTGCTCTTGAACTTCATAGAAATGAAATCTTAAAGCAGGTCTTCTGTGTGTCTGGCTTCTTTAGCTCTCTGTCTGTGAAAATCTTCCATGTTGTTGCATGTAACAGGATTTCGCTGTGTAAGTTATAAAGGATTCTCCACTGGTAATTTCTAATGCTGGTTATTTTACCATATCTAAAAAAAAAAAAAAGACAATTTCAATTCCAGATGCTTTGCAATTGAGGGAATACATAGTGAACTTTAAGGATAACGGAGGCTCTCTAAAGTGTTTAAAGTTCCAGCGGGATGTTTTTAAGAGGGGAGAAATTGCAGCATGTTTGTATGCTGATGGGCATGATAGAGGGAAATGGAGGAAGAGACTTGGGAACTGGGCTTTCAAGTTAGTGAGGGGGTGTAGACAAGGTAAAAGTGGAGAGAGTGGTTGAAATTGAAGAGCCAGCTCGTCTTGGTAAAAGAAAGGAGAGTCTTACCTTTTGACATCCCCTCTAAATGTGAAAACCACTCTCTGGTTTTATATGTTGGCCGCTATCCCACACAACATAAAAGCTCAAAACAGGTATTTGGACTACCAGTCTGGCGTTGATGTAGACTATACGGCTTACTTTATGGACCTTAATAAAGAAAGTACTGGTGATGTATGTTCTAAGCGAGTGAGGCAAGAGAGAGAGTGGTGGGGAATTAAGATAAAGAATGTTTGGAAGGGAGAGGAGCCCCAAGGCAGGAGCGGCTGTGATACTGTGATTTATGATAAATACATCTTTGATCTTCGTCCAGTTTCTGTCACTAACTTTTAAAACCTTTGCAATTTTCTGTGATGGGAGTGATCGAGGTGTCTTTTGTTATGTTAATGAGGTTAATTTTGCAAAGCACCCAGGTAACCTAAGGATGGGGGCTGATGGTTGGGGGATACAACCATGTAATTACAGGATTGGAATTTTTCATCCTTCCCTGCATCCCCGAAGAAGGGATGATGCAGGATAGGACAGATTCCTCCAAGTGGCCCTGAACCGAGAGAGAAAGGGTTTTTGAGCACAGGAAAAGAATTCAAGCACACGCTAGAGTTAGAGTCAAAAGGAAAGTTTATTAGAGAAGGAGTAACCTCCATAGACAGAGCGTGGTCTCTCTCAGAGGCAAAGCGATGGAGACCATGAGAAGGACCCCGAGTTGGGATTCAGTTCATATATCATTCTTAGTTTCTATGAATTACAGTTTAAAGACTTTGTTTACATTTTCCCTTGATGGTATGAATATGCAGTGTGAAAGCTTAAGAGTATGTGGCATGAAAAGGTAAGAATATGTAGTGTGAAAGGCCTCCTGGCAATACCCGGCCTTTGATCCATAGGTTCCCCATGGTTTTGCCGCAGGGAATGAATGATTTTATTCTGTGTTTTCCCTTCACGGTGTGGGGAAATGGTTTGTTAGCAATCCCAGCAGAAATCTTCCTTTGTTCTGCAGGTGTCCTGGTCTCGCCTGGCTGTAGGGCTGATCAGCACATTGCAGTCTCTGAATATAGCTTGATTTAACTTGTTCTCTTGCCTCCTCCCTACATTAGGAAGAGGAGCTGGAGCTTGAATCAATTGGTGAATGGCCATTGATTTCATCAATTGTGATTATGTAACGAAGTCTCCATAAAAAACCAAAAGGAGGGGGTTCAGAGAACTTCCCCGTTTGGTGACCACGTGGAGATAGATGCAGGGAGAATGGCATGCTCAGAGCATGGACGCTCTGAGCTCTTTCTCCATACCTTGCCCTGTGCATTGCTTCCATCCGGCCTTTCCTAGTTGCATCCTTTTATAATACACTGGTGATCTAGTAAGTGAAATGTTTCTCTTAGTTTCTGTGAGCCACTCTAGGAAATTAATAGAAATCAAAGGAGGGGCTTGTTGGCACCTCTGAGCTGTAGTCAGTTGGTCAGAAGCACAGGTGACAACCTGGACTTAACGATTGATGGCTGAAGTGCGAGTGGGGGCAGTCTTATGGGACTGAGCCCTTATCCTATGGAATCTGATTCTGTCTCCAGGTAGATGATGTCAGAATTGAGTTTCACATTCAACAGAATCTCACTGTTACTCTTGTAAGACTCCCACTTGGTGTCTGAGAATTACTTGATGTGGGGAAAACCCACAAGTGGGAACTGGTTGCATAATAGTTAGCAGCCAGGATGTGGAGGAGGCTGGAGTGGGGTGATCATAGCTTGAAGAGCCCCCCAGGTGAGGCCTGTAGGTGTGCTAACAAAATGGAACACTATTCTGCAGTGCAAAAGCATGAGTAGCCCAACTGATCTCACAGCCACAGTGCAGAGCCCAAGAAGTAAATATGAAGGATGGAGGAGGGTATTGGCTTGGAGGGAAAAGAGCTTTTAGAGGGATAGAAACTTCTAGATTGCTCTGAGTGGTGAATGCATTTGTAAAAATTCAGTGAGACTGCATTGAAAACTTATATGCTTTATGTAAAATGGAGATTAATCAATGGGAAAATGAGCTAGGCTTAGGAGCTAGACTTTAACAGAAGGGCAGGCGGGGGCCATGGAAGGGTTTTGAACAAGGGCAGGACCATTTGGTCTGGGTACCACTAGAAAGGTCCTCAGAGGCTGTGGTGCATGGAAGGGGCGAGGCCAGAGCTTGGTTTCCGCTTTAGCTCCTGACTGGCTCTCTAACTCTGGTAAGCCCCCACCCGTCTCTGGACCCGCTATTTCCCACTCAGGGTTCTCCTGGGAGTGGAGGCAAAACAAAAGTAGGGGAGGGAAGTAGCCAGAAATCACCATGAGACTGAGCGCCTCGAGGACAGAGCCCTCTGACTCATGCCTGCAGCTCCAGCCCCTGGCACGGGGCCTTCAAGAAGTGCTGATGCTGTGCGAGGGCGTGCAGAAACTGCCAGAAAAGGGAGCGGGGTGGGTGGGGGCGTTAGACCCTGCACCCAGAGAGGAGAATGGGGACAGGTGGGCAGGGGTAGACCCGAGATACTCAGAACAGAGATTTCTCATGTGTTCCCTTACGTTCTTAGCCAAAAGCCCCTTCTAACTAGTTCCTACCTTGTCTCGCCAGAAACCAACTTGTAGAAGGTGAGGGGCTTCAGGCCACCTCAGGTATTCAGTGTTTTCATTCAGTGATACTCAGTGAGGCCCCGTTGTATGTAACATCGAGAACACAGTGAACAAAAATGAAAATATGGTTTGGTGCTCTCCAAGCATCTTAATAGGCCCGTTGGCTAAGTGCTGGGGCTCCGGAGCCGGGCCGCCTGGTTCATACCACAGCTGTCCCATCTTCCTGTTGTGGCTTTGGGCCTCAGTTTCCTTATCTGTAAAATGGGACCAACAGTACCCACTTTGACTCCTTTCGTAGAGATTTTCTAAGATCGGTTATACAAAGGACCTAGCATGGTGCTTGGCCCAATAAATATTGTGCTAGAGACAAGTTCATGGGCTATGGGAGCTTTAGAGAGGGCTTCCTGGAGGAGGCGACATGTAAGCCAAGACCTAAAGGAAAACTAGGAAGGCATTTGCCAGCCAAAGGGGTCTGGCAGTGGATGAAGAAAGAGCGGTCCTGGAGGGAGGAGTTTGGCAGGGGACCTGGCAGCACTTCCAGGAGGGTTTCTTGCAGGGGGAGGCTGTCAGAAATGTCTTCAGAGGTCTCGTCTCGTTCTTGTCGCCTTCACTCCCTAGGGTTGGAAGCCAGAGGAAAGGCAGTCTGGCAGTGGGCGGTACAGGCCCCAGTTTAGCAGGACCGAGGAGTGAGGCTGCCTGTGGACTTGCAGGGAAGTCCAAAGATAGCTCACCAGAGGAGGATGACTCGCAGCCTGGGATTCCCCACAAATCGAGGGAAGTGAGGATGAATCAGCCTCTCAAAGTAGAATGAAGCCACTGTGGGTAGTGAGACCTGGGTTCGAGCCCCAAGGCCACTCTGCCTTAGACTCGCTTCTAGCAGGGCAAAGAGGGCTCAGCAGTGTGACAGGCTGGGTGTTAATCTGGGCCCTGCAGCCTCGGTTCCCAGCTTCCAGGCCCAGCTCCTCTTGACACCTGTTTCTGAATCTGCACAGTGGGGTAGGGGAGTGGTCGTGATTTATAAAACGGGGCACAGAGTTGGGCATACAGTAGGGACTCTGGATGTGCCAGTCCCCTCCCCTTTTCCTGTCTGAGTCCTAGCAGATGCGAAATGAGTGTGTGGGATGGTTTGGGGTTCCTGCTGGTCTCCAGATGGGGTTCTGAGGAGATGAGTAGAGGGGGAAAAAGATAACAAAAAGAAAAAGGACAGCCACACATTGTCTGAAAGTCAGTAGCAAGAATAAAAATGATTATGTCGTGTATTTGGTTCTTACCGAATGCCTGACCCTCTGTGCCACTCTGTTTTAATCTTCATGGCAGGCAGTGCCGTGGGGAGGTGACCCCATTTTACAGGTGAGGTAAAATGTGCACAGAAGTGAAACCACTTGCCCCAAATCACACAGCCAGAGGATGGCAGAGCCAGGATCTGTTTGAATTCAAAGCCCTTGCTCTTAGCCTCAGATCTGGGGCGGGAGTTGGAGGGAGTTGTCGAGGACTCCCCAGCCCACAGGCCTGGCAGGGCACTTAGGGGAGGCCTTCGCTTTATAGATGGGGAAACAGGTTCAGACAAAGCAGGGTAAGAAGGCCCCAGTGGATGCCCTGCCTGTTTGGAATGTGGATATGTTTATTAAGAAACAGCAACTTCTTCGTCTTTAACGTTTATTACAAAGTAGAAGAGCAGAGGCTGATGAGCTGCGCCACCCGGTTCACTCTGTCCCCACGTTCTCTGCAGCTCTGGAAAAATGGTGTCCTCTTGCTTTCCCACCAGGGGGTGCCACCTCCTGCCCCGTCCCAGCCTCAGGCCTGGTTCCTTCAGATCCACCGACCAGCGGTAACCAAGGCATCCCAGGATCCTGGACTCTGGGCTCCCAGTCCCCTGCTCCTCTGGGCCTCAGCTGTCCCGGTCCCCAGGCACCTCCACTTGGAACTGAAAGCTGGAGGTCGTCTATAGCAGCACAGCGAAGAGGGTTTTTTGAGGGTATGTGGGGTAATGGTGACCATTTCCCCATTTAGGGCCTCAGGGATAGGCCACAGCCTCCCTCCTTCAGCCAGTGTCCCCTCCAGCAGCCCCAGCAAGTCAACCGACCCCAAGGTGGGACCCCCTTGGGTCCTTGCACCCGAGGTGCTTTATTCATGGGGTTGGGTCAGGAATAGCAGGGAGAATGTCCTTGACCTCAATCACAGGGAAAGTAGCCTGGTTCTTCCTCCACGGGTCCTGGGGAGACAAACAGAGATGGATGGACAGGCAGGCCTGGAAACGGAGGAGGAGCAAGACCCGAGACAGAAGTGGAGACCGAAATTGGTAGGCAGAGGAGGAAGAGCATGGAGGTACTTGGCACCAAGAGAGGGGGCCAGCCGGGCATTTGGACAGAGCCAGAGAATGTGCCCAGGGGCAGAGACCAAGCAAAGAAAGGAGAGAGGGTGCTGAGGGTCAGCAAAAAGGAGAAGAAATGCCTCCCATCGCTGCCACGCCAGCCCAGAACTTGACGCCCTTTTCTCCAGACACAGCCAGAGCAGAAGAGGAAGTGTGGCCTTGTCTCCAGGCCATCCCCCACCCCCTCGCCACATGGGATGCTGGTTACAGGCACCTTTCCTCCAGCAGTCCCAGCCTCCTCACCAGCTACGTGGCCTCCTGGCTGAGTTCTGGAGGCTGCTGTGGCCCCAGGGCAGTGCTGAGCAGCTCCATCAGGGTGTCCAACTTCCCTGCCAGTGCGTCAATCCGCTTCTCCAAGGCCTGGTGTGAGCTATTCAAACCCAGTTGCAAGTCGCACAGGATCATGTGCATCTGGGCAGAGAGAGGGCAGCGGTATCAAGGAGCTGGGGTGCACCTTCCCTGGAATAAGGCGATGGAACCAATGTACTAAATCCTTATAGACCCTCAGTTACCCTCAGTAGTAAGAGTCACTGTTCATTGGCCACCAGCCCCACCCTAGCTACTAGGCCAGGTGCTTTGCATGTAAAAGTCACGAGAGTGAGTCATATTCCTAATGTTCCTAATTTTACAGCTGAGGAAACTGAGGCCTGGAGCAGTTAATTGACACACCCAAGGCAGCAGCTAGAACAGAGCCCAGGAAGTAGTAGGTGCTTACCAAATATTTGTGGAATTGATGAATGCCTGACTTCAAAACCCACACAGCCCTCTCACTGCCTTCTGAAACCAGGATTCACAGCTTCATCCTTGAGTGTGTGTGAGCTTTCTATGAGCATTCTTCAATTCTGTGTTTTTGGCTCGATCATCTTTGGAAATAATCACCTGCCAATTCTGGCAGATCTAGGCCACCACCTCCTCACTGAGACCTGCCATGCAGTGTAGGAGCCTGTACCTGTGATTGTTTACCATGGCGTTGGTGCCAAGGGCCACTGTTTAAATTATTGCAGACTAATGAGAAAAGGCAAAGGCTGCAGATAAGCAAAAGACGCTGTCATCAAGCCAGGGGGTGTGACATCCCCATCCCTGAGCACTGGTGCAATCAAGTGGTCCCAGCCGGAAGTACGCAAGCTGAGTCGCTTGGCCAGGCAGGTAAAGCACCACGGCCCTGGGTCCCCTCTTCACAACAGCAGCAGAGACCGAGTTTTACTGAAACAGTGTCACCCTTCCCCACAGCAGTCTTGTTAATTTGCATTTTATTGGTTTTCCATGTATGTTTGAACTTGGTTTGTAAATTTGCTTTGGTTTTATTATTGTATAAGTCAGAGTTAGAAGGAATTTTATATCCGTCTGCATGTAAGTATCTCGACAATAAAAATAATTTAAAGCCAAACACTGGAGTTCTCTGTGCAGTTTCTTTTTTTTAGTGTAAAAGAGATCTGTCTGTACCTTAACGAGTTTGAGAAACCGTGTTGCATCATTCATTTATTCAACTTCAAACCTATAATGAGTGCCCACGTTTGCCAGGCCCTGGCCAATGTTCCCTGTTCCAGGGCCAGATTTTCATACCTGAGGCCCAGCCTCCCTCCTCTCTCAGACCCGCTCCCACGGATTCCGGTACCTTGGAGATGTCCACCATGGAGTTCACTTGTTCCCGGAGCTTTCTGTGTTTCAGCCGCACCTGGCGGAACCTGTGGGAAGAAATAGGTGGTCAGTTTTCCTATATGCCTGGTCCCTAGATGTAGCCCTAGCTTGGGGGAGGGGTGGGGAAGGACAGACCCATGCAGACACAATACAAACAGCAAAAGTTGCCAGGAGCTGAAGGGGCGGGGGCGGGGGTGCGGTTGGAGGGTGCATCCATGGTGCCACCTCCCTGGTAGAGACCCAGGTATCCAGTCTCACACACACAGCCACCTGGACCCACAGACACACTGAGACATGCAGAATCAACCAGCACAGACACAGAATCATAGGAGGTGTAGGCAGACATCTCTTCCATCACACATGGGTGTGCGTGCACATATGCACACACATATGCCGTGTAGACAGATGTGGACACAGGTGCACACGGGTAAGTGCCTGTGCAGACACAAACACACACAGCGGCCCTCACGTGTTGATAGCGGCCAGCAGCTTGCGTTGGTGCCTGCGGGCAGCTGTAGCATCCTTCTTGCGTGTGTGTTTATAGAACATCCAGGACTCTTGTAGCACTCTGGCAGCTGATTCTTTCATCTGGGGGTGGGTGGCACAGTGTCAGTGCAGATAGACTCACAGGTTCTAGAAAGGAGATTGGGGGCCAGACTCCTGGTCTGAGGGAGGAGGGGCTGGGGGCCGGACTCCTGGGTCTGAGGGAGGAGTGGTAGAGGGTTGGGTCTCCTGCGTAGACCTGTAGTCACCTCTTTGGCATACTGGATGTCCATCATGAAGTTGTGCACATGCTTCTCTGCTTTATTAAACTCCAGCTTCCGAGCCACTACAGCCACCAGCAGGGCTGTGCAGCAGACCCCCTGTGGACACAGGCACTATGACACAATGACACAAGGACTGTGGGGCTCTCTAGGGCCAGCCCTGTGCCACTAGCTCTTTCCTCAAACCCTCCTAAACAGCCACAGAATGCATGCATGGCCACCCCAGTAGACGGCCAAGCAAACAGGCTCAGAAAGATCCAAGGTCCCACAGCTCCGAAGGGTGGGACGAGGATCAGAAATCATGTCTGAGACCAACTTCTGTGCTCGTGTTTACACCGTCAGAATGTTTTCTTTCGTTAAAGGTGTTGGAGGAGGGGAGAAGGGCTGGTTTCAGGCAAGGGACGGACCTTGGGCTCCTGCGGGGGATGCCGTACTCCCCCGTACCCCCCAACTGCTCACACCCAGTTGGCCATCCGGTCACCAAGGGTGTCCCTCACCCTCCTCCCACCCCCATGGCCTCTGCCCAGCTCTGGCCCTGTCCTCTTTCTCCTGGACCATCTCCGGCCTCCGAAGCCCCCTGCCCTGACCCCAGGGAGATCTAACCCCAGTTAGGACCCTGCCCCCTCACCATAATCTCCTCCTAGGCTTCCACAGCCCCAGACTTCTCTGCCTGGCAGGGCCTTCCCAGATCTAGGCCCCTCCCTCCTCTGCTCAGCCTCCCTCCCAGACAGGTCAGCCCCGCCAGAGCACCAGGGGCCCAATGCTCATTCTCCCTTCTCCCCAGGCTTCATCCTTTGAGGCCCCATCAAATACCAACGGCTCTGAGGCACCTGTCCACTCCCCCATGAGTTAGAAGGGATCTTCTGAAGCCTCCCCCACCCCGTGTGTTTCAGCCATTGCCCACTCCGGACAGTTTAGTAGAAATGTTATCTCTGGGACTGACCGGGTTCCAAGCCCAGCTTGGAGCAAGTTACTTAATCTCTTGGTGCCTCAGTTTCTTCTCTGTAAAATGGGCATGTCCTCACAGTATCACCCTGTGGGTTCTGTAAGTTAACACCTGGGAAGTGCTTATACCAGAGACTAGCACAGAGCGTGTGCTCAAAAGGTAGCTATTATGATTCCGCTGCACCATGGGACCTCTTGGCCAGGAGTGGTCTATGAGCACTAGTGCAAATCGCCTTCTCTAGCTCTCAGTTTCTCCTTTCTTCAGATGAGGGAGGAGGTACCAGGCAGCCCTGAGTGTTCCTGACTCTTTGGGAGTGTTTCCCTGGCCGAGTCTCTGCACCTGTTTTCTGTCACAAAGACACCTCTGTGTGTGTGTGTGTGTGTGTGTGTGTGTGTGAGACATTGGGCCCTGGGTCCCTGAGGGGAGGGGAGGATGAAGATGTGAGTTGGGGGAAACCAGATCCCTGGGTCTGTGAAGGGTAAGGGGTGGGTGTCTGGATTCAGGAGGAGGCATGAATCGGGCTGGAGAGCCTCTGCCTCATCCTTGGGGGCACAGGCACTGCGGTGGAAGCAGTGGATGCCCAGGCCCCGTTATAATAACAGCCTCCCCACCCTTAAACTTCAACCCACTGACTATTTCTTATGTGCTGAGCACTTTTTGAGAGACTTTACATGTTTTAATTAACGTAATCTCCTAAGGAACCCCATGAGGAGTACACTCGTATCAGCATCCCATTTTATAGGTGAGGAAACTGAGGCCCAGGGAGATTACATGGCTTGCGCCCAGGTAGGAGGTGGCAGAAGCAGGATTTGAGCCCAGACAGCCTGGCTCTGTGATTAGCCTCTATAGCCTTGATGGAGGCTGGGAGTCTGGGTTCCTGGGGTCCTGGGTCCTGGAGGAGCTAGAGCTGGGGAACCAGGGGCCTGAGTCCCAGATGATCAGGAGGGTAAGGGGAGGGGGCAGGATGCCTGGGCCTTGATGGGGCTCAGGGATGGATTCCTGGATTCTGGAGAGAAATGGGCTGGGAAATCAGTGGGCCGTGGCCCTGAGGAGGATGCGGGCTGGGGTCCTAGGTTCCAGAGGGAGCAAAGACTTCAGGAACGGATTCCTGGGTTTTGAAAGGAAATGGGGCTGGAGATCTGTGTCCTGGAGAGGGACTGGGGCTGTGGGGGGTCCAGACACCCAAGTTTCATGGGGTGTCCCTGATTGCCTGTGTCAGCTCCTTGGTTTCCTGGGGCCAGGGGAGGAGCAGTTTGGTTTAGGGGTAGGGTCGCCGAGGGGCTCGTACTCACCATGACCCCAGTGCAGAGGCAGACAATCTTGCCCCACATGGTGCCCGGCACCACATCCCCGTAGCCGATGGTCAGGAATGTGATGGGGATCAGCCACAGTGTGTCCGAAAGGTGTCCAGTGGCATTAACGGCCTGCCTGTGGGAAGGGTGAGTTAGCTGTGACACCCCACCCCAGGGGTTCCTGTAGATTTGTACCTTCCTTCCTAACACACACACACACAATCCCAAGAAGCACTCAGAGGAAAAGCCAGTAAATTCTGGACTTTGGGGAGACTGCTCGGCCTTCCTGCTGTGAGCTGGGCAAGATGCTTGTTTGAACCCGGGTCAAGTGGACTAAAGCCTGTTTAGTTTCAGCGAGGCCACCAGGGCTGCTGTATTCGGAGCATGTGGCTGAGGGGTTGAGAGGGGGCAGAAACCCAGTCCGAAGTCCACTTGTCAGACCCCGGCAGGGGATTGCATCCACCCTGAGGAAGGAGGGGGGGGGGTGCCTTTTTTCTAATTTCCACAAAGATGCTGTCTGGCCTAGAGGTGGCCCTATCAAGACCAAAAAGGTGGGACTCTACAATGGCTTGGCGGGACTCTGCCCTCCTTTCCCCTCGCTTCCTAGAAGGGGACATTTCAGTCCCACCACGGAATGAATCGTCCATCTTGGGCTCACAGACTCTTTGCATCAGGGTCAGCCAGGAAAGCTTCCCCCGTTAGGGCCCCGGACACCCCAGACCCACTGAATCAGTGTCCGGAGGTGGGGACGGAGTCTGTGCTGTTCAGTACCACCCTCCTCATCCTGAATTACAGTGAAGTTTGAGAACTTCTGCCTTAGGACTTAGAAATTTGACTCCCTTCCCATCATCCCACTTTTCAGATGAGAAGCTTGGTGGGAGGACCATTTATTGACCCTGATCCTGACTGGTTTTCCAAATGGGAAAACTTGAGGTGCTGCGAGATGAAAGATTACAAAATTAGGCAAGATTGGAATCGCCAGGGAGACTTTAAAGATGGTAGAACTTGTAAAATTGACCCATTTTACAGATGAGAAAACAGGCTCAGGAAGGAGCACTCTAAAGCCAGGTCTTCTCACTCTCTGCCTCCCCTCAAGAATCTTTTGTCGGATGCACTAAACCAGAGGTTCTCAAACGGGAGTGGGCATCAGAACCACCTGTGAAGGCCGCTGCTTGGCCTCACTCACTGCAGTTTGGATTTGGTAGGTCTGGGTAAAGCCTGAGAATTGGGGTTTACAAGTGCCCAGGTGATGCTGCTGGTCCCGGAACCACACTGAGAACCACTGGCTGATCACCCCCAATTTCTGTGTGTGAGAGACAGACAGAGACAGACACTCAGGCCCTGAAAGGGTACAGGCCCAGCGTCAAGTCACATGGTGTTCAGCACGCAGCCTGGAATCCCATACCAGTTCCCTGCAGGAATTCTCCAGAGCACCCCAAATCATCCCCAGGCTGGATCAGGGAAAGCTCCTGCAGTGCATCTGTGCCAATTCAGAAAAGGTGCCCCTTTCCCCCAAGGCGATGCAACCCTCCGCGGGGCCCCAGCGCCTGGGTTTGGAGACTGAACAGATAGATGCCTGGGGACCTGAAGCAGGAGGCTGGGAAGCGGGAAGGGAAGGGCTTCCAAGGGTCTGTCTGTGCCTGGGGAGACTGGAGACTGCAGGGGAGGAAGGGCCGGGGCTGGCCTGTTGGTTCCTCCCACCCGGGCGGCGGAGAGTGGGGACAAATAGCTCCCACCACTGCTTGGTCCCTGGGGGCCCCAACCTGCAGCACTGTAAGGGCTGCCGGGGCTGTAAGCGGTTCTTCCAGACGCTCAGGTACCCTCTGCCCAGCGCCCTCACCTCTCTGCCACCGACAGCACCCAGGCGGTGGTGAGCCAGAGGCCGAGCGTGAGGCAGAGCAGCAGGCGGCCGGGGTGCGTGTTCATGTACAGCTTGGCCACGAACCAGTGGCGGAAGCGGACCTGGTTGAGGGCGCCGATGCTGCGGTAGGACACGTTGAGCAGGACGCCGCTGCGCAGGAGCACGGCGCGGGGCACTAGGTAGAGGCGCAGCAGCATGGCCAGTGACAGCAGCGCCTCGCCCTGGCTCAGGAACCCCGGCCAGGACTGCGTCGCCATCGACGGAGACCGGGTACCCAGCACGCAGGGCGGGCCCCGCACAGGCGCCGGGTGCAGCCCGCACACCGCCAGCTCCAGCAAGATCTGCGCCACCTGCCGCCGGGTCAGCGCCACGCGCCAGTCCTGGAGCCCGTTGTCGGTCATGAACAGCTGCGGGGAGGGGACAGACAGGAAAGTGGGGTCACACGAAGGCCAGGCGGCTGTAGCCAGCCTGCGTAGGGAGATAAGGGGGGCGCGCCCGCCCTGCGGGGGAGCGAGGCAGATAGCGCTGGGGCAGGGGCTTTGGGATGTGTGTGGGGGGCGGGGACGAGACCTGAGATGGACGTCCCTCCCGCGTCTCCTCTCCCTCCCCCTCTAGTGTCAGCCTACTTCGAGAACTTCCAGCCCTGGAACGTTTGGCGCCCACTGAGCGACACAGATTGTTCTATATATTCAGGCGGACAGACAGCAACCCCCGCCTCCCTGGAGCTTCCGGCCCACCTCATGGAGCCATCTTCTCTTCTCTTTTCTGAGGACACGTGTACAGTAATCGTCATCACCATACCATTAGCGCTGACAACAGCTAACACTGAGGGGGCACTTTGGATGTGCCAGGCACTGCTGTAGCCCCTTTGCATGTTGTAACTCAATGAATGCTCACAACACGGCGAGATGGAAAGTATTATCACCCGCATTTTAGAGATGTGGACACCGAGGCCCAGGTCCCGCAGGCGGGTGCTGGTACCGCTGGGCTACAAACCCTGCACTCGAACTTCGGAACTGTGTGAATGGCTGCTGGTAATGATAATGTCTACTGTTTACTGAGCACCTTTTATGTACCAGGCACTTGCAAGGGACATCACTGCACATGGCCAGTAACCCCCATTTCATAATCAAAGGTATGGGGGAGGGACGACAGGATCTGGGGATGTACGGGGTGGGATGGGAGGGGGAGGAGTGGGACTTGAGTGTCCCAGTGAGACATGACACTGGAGGGGGATATGGGTGGGAAGGGCTTCGGGTCTGGGGGATGTTGGCACAGAGGTGGGGAGCCTGGGAGTGGGGAAGGACCTGTGGGCATATACCTGGGGGCTCCGGTTGCTTGGGATTGGGATAGGTAGGGACTCAGAGATGGAGGACAGAGATCTGGAGGCTGGGACTGGAGCTCTCAGCATCTGAGTGTGCGTGGGGAGACTGGAGGGGTGCAGATGGAGGAAGGGAGGGGGCTGCTCCAGGAGGCTGTTTCTGTCCGTGGTTCGCCCCATCCCGGTGGGTGAGGGTGTGGACGCATCTCAGGGAGAAGGAACCTCATTACTCAGCCCAGGAAGAGGAGGATGGAAAGTGTGAACTCAGGGTGTGGTGGGGCTGGGGGCACAAGCAAGGCGGGGCCTGCCCTACCTGGACCTCTTTGGCGTGAAAGGCCACGATGAGGCAGAGGAGGAAGATGGTGGAAACACTGATGACGCATTTAACCAGGAACAGGTAGAGCGCCCACTGTTGGGAGGGATAGAGAAAGGTGTGAGGTGCCCGGTCTGCACCCCCCTCAGTACCCTCTACCTTCCTCCCAAACAGCCTTCCCTTCTCAATCCCTAGTTTCCTAGCCTCCTTTCCTTTCAGCCCCTGACCCAGTTTCTCCTGATGTGTCAGTTCTGGGGAGGTCTCAAAACCACCTGGTCCCCAGGGAGTGTGCCCTCTTCCTTCCCAACCGGACAGCGCTGGCCTGGATGCCAGTGCCCACCTTCCCCCTCAGCTCTTCTCCTCAGACCCACATCCCTAAGGGGAGACCTTGAAACACACATTCCTTCTTAATTCTTGTCCCCTTCTCCATCAAAAATAGTTCCTCAGGTATGTGCTTGCATGGGGCTTTGTGTCTAGAAACACATCTGGCCTCTAGACAGTGTCCTGTCTCCCTCTCTGCCCGCCCAGCTGGTCCGGTCCTAGAAAGCAACTTCAAGTCCCACCCCCACCCCAATTCCAGAGAAGCCTAGGAACTATCATTCAGTCTCCAAGGAATGAGTGACACCTCCCGCTACCTTCATCCAGGGGACTGAGTCCCTGAGAGAACCCAGACCCAGCTCTGAGAACGCCCTCTACCCCACAGTCCTGCCCGCTGCGTCTCCTCTCCCCCTGCCTCCTGCTCTCCCTCCTGGCCCAAGCCCGGGGCAGATCTGGCAGAAGCACGTGGCCTCCAGAATCCACGGAGAAGGTTTTCTCCTCCTCATTGTGCGCAATACCTTGCAGGAATCT